CCAGCATCAAGAAGCATCTGGCCCCATCCTTCAAAGAGGTACATTTGAGATCACTTACAGACATCAACTGTGTAAATACAATCACTGAAACCTTAAATATGTAAGCCATAAATGGTTTATATCTTTTAATAGTCTTTTCTCAAAATGTACTTTTAGGAGCTACCCAAATTTGAGCAATACATATTTGCTGATTATTCAAACTTCATCAATGTGGAAAACGTGTATGAGGACATAATCCATCAGATACTGGAAAAAGACGTCAGCATGGGTATGTCACATGATCACAGAAAGGCCTCTACATACTGCCTTTGCAAAAATTTCACTGATATTAGGGTCATTAGTAAGTATAAAGCACTAGATTAAAGTAATACAACTAAATTCATGCATTTTATGCACAAGTATGATGTTAGCACATTCACATACAAGGGCCGCAAAATGTTTTAAACATAAACATGAATAAATATATTTGTATTATAACAAAATTTCAAACTAAATTATATTTTTAAAGACATAATACACATTAAAAAATTTTTATATTTTAATATAATTTTTTTTAAAATATAAATTAATACTTTTATTCAGCAAGGAAGCACTAAATGGATCAAAACTGACAGTTAAGACTATTACACTTCAAATAAATGCTGTTCTTTTGAACTTATTAATCAAAGAATCCTGAAAAACATGGATCAACAAAGTTTAAATATTAAGCAGCATAACTGTTTCCAACAATAAAAAGAATGCTTCTAATGGCTGCTGAAAATTCAGCTTTGCCATTACAGGAATAAATTACATTTAAAATTATATTCAAAAAGAAAACAGTTACATGTATTTTAAATGGTAATGGTATTTCAAAATTTTGATCAAATAAATGCAGCCTTGATAAGCATAAGACTTCTTTCAAAAACTTTAAAAAAAATTATACAGACCTTAAACTTTTGAATGGTAGTGAACATCCACTAAAAATCCCCTTGAGCCCATTTGTTAACCTCCTTGAGACCCTGTGACCTCATATGAGGACATTATATTTTGGTGTCTTTCTCTGAGACTATACATGCCACAGTTTTAAGTCTGGATGTCCTGTACAGAGCACATTCAGGGCTTTTCAGAGATACTAAATGTTTAGATGTTTCACTATGACCACTCCCTCTCCTTGGTCTTCAAATATGTCTGATATTAATTTAGTGACACTCTTATGGAAATATGATAATATTTTGTAAGTATCATTTAAATCTGTCTAATTTTTAAACTGTCCGTCATAAATCAACATCTCAGGAAAATGTTATGGGGTTTCAAATCAAAATATGACTTTCTGTTACGAAACAGGATGTTGATTTCATACATGTCCTCATATGAGGACACTGGGACTAAAAGCATGTTTATTAGCATTTTGGGAGACATAAAAAATGAATAGGGAAAGAAATTATGTTTCAATATTCTATGAAATATTATATATTATTATGAAAATCTTACTCCCAAATATTACTCCCATTATTACACTTCTTTTTTCATTACGTTACCCCAAAAACACATTAATATGCAAATTAGATTTAGTTTATAGATAAATTGTATATAATCGGAAAACCCGTTTATGGCCATTTTACACACATTTTGCAAAAATAAAAAGGGTATATCAAATCATTCTGTTACAACATAGTTGAGAATCATCTTTATACAAAGTTTGGTAAAAAAAAAAAATCCTGAAAACTAAAAATGTATTGGTGATTTAAAAAATCTATTGTTTTTGCCTATGCATGTTCATTCATGTCTTTTTATTTTTTTTAAAAACTGAGTCCCGATGTCCTCTACCAAAGTCATAGCATAATTTATGAATGAAATATAATTTTTAAAAAAAAATTTAATTTTACATTTTGTCTATGCTCTAAACAATGTAAAGACATAAAATAAAAAATATTTTCTCGGGTCTTAAGAGGTTAAATTAACAACATAGTTGAGAATCATCTTTATACAAAGTTTGGTAAAAAAAAAAAAATCCTGAAAGCTAAAAATGTATTGGTGATTTAAAAAATCTATTGTTTTTGCCTATGCATGTTCATTCATGTCTTTTTATTTTTTTTAAAAACTGAGTCCCGATGTCCTCTACCAAAGTCATAGCATAATTTATGAATGAAATATAATTTTTAAAAAAAAATTTAATTTTACATTTTGTCTATGCTCTAAACAATGTAAAGACATAAAATAAAAAATATTTTCTCGGGTCTTAAGAGGCTTAGGTTTTCAAATATATTTTAGAGCCACCATATATATATATATATATATATATATATAATGCTACTGAACAAGAAATTATTATTATATTTAATTCTAATTTTCTCAAATCTGATTTGTGCTTCTGATTGGCAGTGGTCAAGGAGGATTTTAGAGACCCCATATATATATATATATATATATATATATATATATATATATATATATATATATATATAATGCTACTGAACAAGAAATTATTATTATATTTAATTCTAATTTTCTCAAATCTGATTTGTGCTTCTGATTGGCAGTGGTCAAGGAGGCAGCCAGCAAGAAGAAATTCAACCTGTTCACAGAGAGCAGGTACAATTTCAGTGTGTCCAGCTTATCCTTCACACCCCCAGGATCCGCACCCAGCAGCCCAGCACGCTTAAATACATCCCCAAGCCTGCGCACGCCCCTGCCACCCTCTCCGCTGCTGGGCAACGGCCTGACAGCAGACAAATCTGTGACTGTTCACTTGTCAGAAAATAGTGCAATGGGTCAAGCTCTGACTATCATGGAAAAAATCGATGAAGGAGAAAGGGCACTCTTAGAGGAGAGCAGTGATGACATATTTTTCACTGCTGAAACATCAACCTCGGATACATCAGCTGAGACTAAACCAGAACTCACCACAGACACCATGGAAGCTTCGGTCTGTTCCACCCCTTTAGTTAAGGAAACAGAAGCTGTAGAAAGTGCTGGTACTAGTGATTCACCAAAAGGAGTTGATGCAACTGCTTCAGACTTTGCTTATAAACCCACAGTAGTAATCAACCCAATCTGTATGAAAACCTCTGGTTCTGATGATGAGCCTGCTGAAACTGAGGATCACAGGAAAGAAACGATAAAGACGTCAAATGATCAAGCCCAAATTAATTCACCAACATGTGATGAAAGCACATATCCGATCGCAGTATGTTTATCTATTGAAGATGCAAAAGATGGAGATATCTACAAAGAGTTCACAGGCAAACATATCATGGATCTTTCAGAAAAAGCCTCAGAATCCCAGTCGTCACCAAACCTAGAGGATGAAACCAGGCCCCTGGACTGTGTGAAGGAGATCCGTGACCTTGTAGTGGAGGTTATTGAAATAGAGGATGTGGTTCCGCCTTCCAAAGGAAATGGAGAAAAAATTCAAGTTCAAACGTTCGAGGAACAAGATGCTGTAGTTTAAGTTTCAATGACCATGTCGGGTCAGGATTCAAAACTTATTCACCTCTCCATTTTCTGTGTGAGGAGACAAATTGCACATTTTGAAGTTGGCTTCATCATTGTGCAGAAAGTAATTATAGTTTACTGTAGATATGTGTGTCTATATACAGCACCTTTCAAAAGTTTGGGATCAGTAAGATTTTTTAAAAATAAATTAATACTTTTATTCAGTAAGGAAGTGTTATATCGATGAAAAGTGACACTAAGAAGAGTAATAATGTTACAAAAAATTATATTTCGAAAAAATTTGGTTCTTTTCGACTTTTTATTTATCAAAATATCTTTAAAAAAAGTATCACAATTTCCACTATAATAATATGCAGAACACATGTACAATTACATTTTAAAATATATTAAAATAGAAAACTATTATTTTAAAACTTTAATATATATATATATATATATATATATATATATAAAATCTTACCAACACCAAATGTTTCAAAAGTAGTATATATGTATATGTATATGTGTGTGTATATATATATATATATATATTGTCTTGTATAAAAGTAGTTAAAGAGAATTAAATGTTTCTCTATCTAAAGAGGATTATTTTAATAAAATGGATGTGATATAGTTAATCTTATTTCAATATTGTTTTAAGCTAATATGTACAAATGAATTGCTATGTTAGCATATGAATAATATATGAAATCTAAACTATAGCATAAATATTGAGTTTGGAAATGAGTGTCCTTTGTGAATCTTTATGAGGAATCCTTCAGGAAGAAACATGCAATTGTTACAATTTCGGCAAGGCAGTTTTCAACCTTCAGATGATACAATCACAACACGAAGAAAGTTTCAACAATAAGGATCTTGTACATTTCCCCAAAATGCCAAGCTGTGTCAAAGCCTGCCATAATGCAAGTCTGACAGGTTTGATTTCCATGGAATCTGGCTCTGTGACATATCTACAGCGAGGTGCCTTTTGTTGTTATGAACAAACGTTGAGTGACAAGTACAAGTACATTTGCCGCATGTGCACTGCAGGGACATACTGCAGAACCACTGAGATCTGTGTTACATGGAGACAATCACTACAGATTCTGCTCCAGGCATTTGGCTCCCTATACAAGATCCACATAAACAATAAGACATTCCATCAATACATCTTTAAATATGCATAACCGCCCTTTTAAGGAATGTTCGAATGATGGGAGTGAATGATTGACAATGAATGAGATGCATGGTATTTCACTGCAATCAAGTGAAAGTAAACAAGGCGAGCATTTGTGGAGTTTCTGCTGTGTATTACTATTTATATATAAAATCTTACCAACACCAAATGTTTCAAAAGTAGTATATATGTATATGTATATGTGTGTGTATATATATATATATATATATTGTCTTGTATAAAAGTAGTTAAAGAGAATTAAATGTTTCTCTATCTAAAGAGGATTATTTTAATAAAATGGATGTGATATAGTTAATCTTATTTCAATATTGTTTTAAGCTAATATGTACAAATGAATTGCTATGTTAGCATATGAATAATATATGAAATCTAAACTATAGCATAAATATTGAGTTTGGAAATGAGTGTCCTTTGTGAATCTTTATGAGGAATCCTTCAGGAAGAAACATGCAATTGTTACAATTTCGGCAAGGCAGTTTTCAACCTTCAGATGATACAATCACAACACGAAGAAAGTTTCAACAATAAGGATCTTGTACATTTCCCCAAAATGCCAAGCTGTGTCAAAGCCTGCCATAATGCAAGTCTGACAGGTTTGATTTCCATGGAATCTGGCTCTGTGACATATCTACAGCGAGGTGCCTTTTGTTGTTATGAACAAACGTTGAGTGACAAGTACAAGTACATTTGCCGCATGTGCACTGCAGGGACATACTGCAGAACCACTGAGATCTGTGTTACATGGAGACAATCACTACAGATTCTGCTCCAGGCATTTGGCTCCCTATACAAGATCCACATAAACAATAAGACATTCCATCAATACATCTTTAAATATGCATAACCGCCCTTTTAAGGAATGTTCGAATGATGGGAGTGAATGATTGACAATGAATGAGATGCATGGTATTTCACTGCAATCAAGTGAAAGTAAACAAGGCGAGCATTTGTGGAGTTTCTGCTGTGCTAAAACCCAACTAAATATGCAAAAGATTTCTATCAAAGTAACGTACACAAGGAAAGCTTTTGCACATCAATTTATGCATTTCATATTGCACCACATTAAACAAAAAGGCATTTTATTTAAAACAGTAAGACAATTCCCAGGCACCAATGAAATTGAGTTTCATAAATACGAAAACGCACATATTATTTACGCACGTATTATTTCAAAAGAACACTTGAGTAGGCTACATTACAAAATACATATGAAGTTGTCAGCAGAGCACCATTTAAAGCCAAGATGTGTTGTAAAATTGGTACTATGGTATCAAAAGCAAAGAAACAGGCAACATTGTTTAGCACAATCAAGATATTAAGACTGTAAAGTGACATTATTGTTCCCATGGGCACTGTGTTGTGTTGTCATGAAATGTATTTGAACAAAATACATAATTTCATATGCAAGTCCACAGAGGGGCACCACTATCATTAAAATTACCCTTATATCAGTTGCTTTATGTAAGCAACATATGCAAAACTGAAGGAAATCCTATAATATAAACACATGAGTAGCAGCTACAGCTACACAATATTTTGCTTCCAGAAACCTAAATCTGAAAAACTGTCATGCATTAAATGGACAGATTTGCTTTAATGTATAAATAGATGGTGTTTTCAACACTCATAAATTAACTCACCAACATCACTGAAACAGCATGCAACTAAATCCTACTTTTGTTATATTGCACAGAAAAGGCAAATGTGGTGCCATTAGATTCTTCAGTGTTGACAAGCAATACATAGTAGGCTAAAGTATGTTAAAAGTAAAACTACACGATCTAGCTCAAAGTGAGGGCTGCAAATCATAGCTTCATTAAGAACATTTAGCTTAAAACACATTCAGACTGAGATTCACATGGAATGGAATAAATATCCACATATTACTGATAATGATATGGATGATGAAGAAAATCAGTAGTGCTGCTTTCATTTGAAATGGAAAAAAGAGACCTAACTAGCATCTTCTGAGATCCATTTAATTGGTTTTCATAGCTTTTAGGACTTTCCTGACACTCTCCTACCGTGATGTTGTGTAACCGTAATAAAATGGCTCATCAGGCCGAAAGCCGTAAGCCGTGGCAGGACGCGCTGGAGTCACACCTGTCTGTCCGTACCCGTCAGTCAAAGAACTGGAGGAAGAGAGACACAGCCAGCTGTCAGCCAGTCACATCAGTCAATCACAATAACTAACATAAATCAGGTCAATGTATTTTTATTAGAAAATGACTTGTATATGGGTTAGGTTATAAGCATCTCTAGATGGCGCTCTGATTCTGCAAAACAGAGCTACCTAAACTTAAAACAAAACTGCTCCAAACCTACATAGCCAAATACCAAATAAATAATAATCTATTATATTCATTTACTTTATATCATATTTATGTCATATTATATATTATTAACACCAGGAGAGTTCACAAATAAAAAATTAGATTTCAATAACAATAAAATGATATTACTTCCTTAAGGCAAATGACCAATGGGATCATTTCATATTATATTATATTATTCACACCAGGAGTGTTCACAAATTAAAAATTTGATTCTAAAACCATGAGAATTATATTAATTCCTCAAGGCAAATGACCAACGGGATCATTTCACATCATCTGGAATGGACTAGTGTGATCTGCCTCTAAATAAACACCCACCCAACTTTGGCCTGTATTCTTAAAATATGGGTTGTTTGCTTTGCCCCTTCCAGCTCCCAAAATGCAGTGTTGTTTTTAGTCCAAATCACTTCCAGCGATCGGTTACACGCGCTAGCCCCGTCACTCCCAGTACACCCACCCTCTCTGGGCAGCAAGCCAGTCTATCCTCTGAGGTACACCACTGCTGTCTGGGGAAATTTCAGACATTGCTAAAAAGCTTGAGGAGGAGAGGCTGGATGTGTTGGAAAGAGTTTGGGTGAAACCGAAGCTTATAACTAACTAAGTTCAAAAGGGTTGATGGGAAGGAAAAGGCAGTGTGTTGTAAATCAGATGATCCCTCCAAAGAGTCTCCAGGTAAGAGACAGGTCTTAAAAGTGTGTGTTTGTGTTACAATCATTCTTGCGGTGAATCATTAATCCCAAAGGGATGCTGTCATCCTTTCCAGGAAAGTTGAAAAGATTACATTTTCTGCTGGTTTCCGCAAATAATGATGTTACTAGTGACTCCAACCAACCTTTTGGCCCTTGACACACAAGGATCACAGACACAGTGCACTTGGTGATAATCTGAAGATCTGAGGGTGGACACAGGCTGAAAAAAGATCCCCATGTCTGGCCCCAGTGGCCCCTGAGAGTTAACACTGAAGTGAGATCCTGTAAAAAAACACCCGGAAACCTCTAAACAGGAAAGTGTCTGTGTTGCCGGTCTCTTTTCTTCCTCTGGTGTCCGGAGATGATAATTGTTAAATTTGCTCACCCTCATGTCTTTCCAAATTCAACTTTATTTCTTCCATGAAACACAAATGGAGAAAAGAAGGTGCTCTTTTCTATGAAATTACAATGAATAAAGACCAAAAAAAAAAAGCACCATAAAGTATTTTAAAAGCATATTTACATATGACAGGTTTGAAATGACACAAGGGTGAAGGACAAAAATTCTTAGAATTATTATTTATTTATGGTCATTTAAATGTCCCCTTGTTGAAAATAAATAATAATTTCTTAAAAAAAAAAAAAAAACTTACTGACCCCAAACTCTGAACAGTAGTAAATCAAATCAAGTGTTATCTGCAAACAAATGATGCTAGTCCTTTTCTCAGAGCTGACTTTAATTATTTAGCCATTTGTTCTATTACTTTAAACCAACTGGTCTCTATTAGTGAATATATGAAGTCAGTTCCCCTCAAGTTCACACAGGTGCCCCAGCAGAGTAACCACAGGTTTAGTTTATCACATTAACTGTCTACTTGCATAACGTTTGCCAGCAGAAAATACCTAAAGGAAGCTAAATAAATAAATTCCATTTGTTTTAACACTTTCTAATGCAATGTCTTTTAAACATTTTGTGACGCTTAAGTGTCCAAATACTTCTTGGGCGAATTTTACTTTTCCTGGTTGGCCCGGACAATGTTTTACTAAAAATAATGTTTTACGCTTTACTGCTTTAAAATAACTGTTTTTAGTTTAAAATATTTTATTAATTACCTTGTAATGTGTTTTTCGTCTAATCATAACATTCGCAATAAGGAACTCATATTTTTCAAGCAAATGCAGCCAAGAATTTGTCTTCTTCATCTGGAATAACTAAGCGTTCTTTATGTGCTAAATGAAAGATTGCTCTGTGCTATTCTATAAATAAAAGTGATTCTATTAAAGGCTTTTAAAAGAGCTGTTCCCAGTGTGTCTGGCTCCTGGCTCAGTGCAGGGGAACCTAAGCTGGATTTCATTATTGTGTTAACCTGGATCTCTAACACCACATGGACAAAATGAAAACCACACTTTCAGGCTGCCCAATTCCTTGTGCACTCAGTGTATTCTGCAGGTATCGCTTACAAAGAGCTGTGAAAAAAAAACATGGCTTCCTCTGCCACCCCCTCCCCCTTGTATTCACTTGCTCCTTATTTTTCAGTGCCTCTTCTCTGACTTCAAGACTCCATCCTTTCTCTCATAGACTGATGTATAATTTAGCGAGCTCTCCCTGTTGTTAAGTTAAGTCACCTTTATATATATACACACTGAACAAAATTATAAACGCAACACTTTTGTTTTTGCCCCCATTTTTCATGAGCTGAACTCAAAGATCTAAGACTTTTTCTATGTACACAAAAGGCCTATTTCTCTCAAATATTGTTCACAAATCTGTCTAAATCGGTGTTAGTGAGCACTTCTCCTTTGCCGAGATAATCCATCCACCTCACAGGTGTGGCATATCAAGATGCTGATTAGACAGCATGAATATTGCGCACAGGTGTGCCTTAAGCTGGCCACAATAAAAGGCCACTCTAAAATGTCCAGTTTTATCACACAGCACAATGCCACAGATGTCGCAAGTTTTGAGGGAGCGTGCAATTGGCATGCTGACTGCAGGAATGTCCACCAGAGCTGTTGCCCGTGAATTGAATGTTCATTTCTCTACCATAAGCCGTCTCCAAAGGCGTTTCAGAGAGTTTGGCAGTACATCCAACCGGCCTCACAACCGCAGACCACGTGTAACCACACCAGCCCAGGACCTCCACATCCAGCATCTTCACCTCCAAGATCGTCTGAGACCAGCCACCCGGACAGCTGCTGCAACAATCGGTTTGCATAACCAAAGAATTTTTTGACAAACTGTCAGAAACCGTCTCAGGGAAGCTAATCTGCATGCTCGTCGTCCTCATCGGGGTCTCGACCTGACTGCAGTTTGTCGTCGTAACCGACTTGTGTATCTTAACCAGTCACGTCCACACGCTAAAGTATTTCCTGTAACAAATTAAGTGTGTGTAATCATGACAAAATCTGGCACACACACAAAGTTTATGTCTTTTGTTTGCCAGCTTGGCACATATGCCATGCTATTTCTGTGGAAGGCTGCAACAACTACTTATCTCTCTGAGGAGTGTCTGTGTGTGAGAAGTATGTGATTAACAGCTGAAATAACACCTTTTGGAGACACTGATCTGATGGAGGCATACAACACAAGCCTGTGTATGTGTGTGTGTGTGTGTGTGTGGAGGATCCAGCACTCTTTCTCGCTCTTAACATTCTCAGAACATTCTTCTGCCTCTCTCTTATTTAAACTTTTTTAAGAAATATATATATATATTTTTTAAATCTTTGTTACCTTTATTCAAAATGTGTAACTTTCTCCCACTCTACCTTTGAAGTGACTTTCCCTTTCATCATTTGGGCTACTGGATAATGTCAGTTATTAAAAGTAGTTAAGCATTGTTTTATCAAACTCACATTCATTCTGGCTCTGTTTTGGTTTGTAATGTCCACTTTATATATTCCAGTTAATCCAATTATGTTTCAATCAGATATACATAAAAAATTTTAAGTAAATGTGTTGCAAATGGCAATTTTTGTTGACATAAATGCATTGCGTGGTCTTGCTAAAAGTACTGATCTCAAGTCAAGTCAAGTCACAGTTATTTTTATAGCGCTTTATACAATATAGATTGTCAAAGCAGCTTTACAGTGTCAAACAAGAAAACAGTTTGTCAATAATGCATGAGGACAATAACAAACAATTTTTCAGTTAGATCCGGTCTCTTTTCTTTCTGTTTTTTTTTTTTTAGACCAAATGCAACCTATGAGTAACCTAAACCTAAAACCTATGAGTGTCTAATCATTTAAAGGGGTCACTGTATTATCATTAATGGCCCCATATCAAATAATCCCCTCTACGATTACGAGTTGAATATTTGGAACAAAGCTAAAATATTTTGAGATTGTCAAAGCAGCTTTACAGTGTCAAACAAGAAAACAGTTTGTCAATAATGCATGAGGACAATAACAAACAATTTTTCAGTTAGATCCGGTCTCTTTTCTTTCTGTTTTTTTTTTTTAGACCAAATGCAACCTATGAGTAACCTAAACCTAAAACCTATGAGTGTCTAATCATTTAAAGGGGTCACTGTATTATCATTAATGGCCCCATATCAAATAATCCCCTCTACGATTACGAGTTGAATATTTGGAACAAAGCTAAAATATTTTGCATAGTCCCATGACACAAAGTGGGCCACATCATAAATCATAGCATCAAGTCATCACACTAGTGCTTTGCTGAAACCCCTAAACAGTAGGTATATGGCAACTGAAGCAGATTTGGAAACAGCTAAACAGAGGGAGCTGTGTTTACTCTCAAAGCTGAGGGTATTACTGTTGGAGGAGTGCTGTGGCCTGCTGGGAATGCCGGAGGACTCTTTGACGCAGCACTTTTGAGCCTTTCCCTGCTAAAGCCAACAAAACTAGCAGACAAAGATGTGTGTGTGTGTGATACAGTAATAACAAAAGCCAGTTTGACAGATTCATCATATTTAAATGTACCTGCTGGGGAAACCATGTGGTCCTAACAGGTCTCCATTTTGGAAGTCTGTGAAGAACTCTGGACTAATGGCACCATCTACTGGGATTATTCCATCTGCAGGAATCACAGAGAAACCAATTATCAGTAGCACCTCTGTGCTAAGGCATGACAGAAAATACAGAGATACATCAAATTTCTCATAATATTTTGCATTTATTATAAAAATTCAAATTAAATTAGAATAGGTTTTTTTGTTTAGATATCTAAAATTAGAATTATAAATTAATTATTAAAAATAATTATAAAAATAATTTAAAAGTTTGTTTATAATCTGGATTTTTAACCAAATTACAGATTACAGTATAGTTTATATTTTATTTATATATATTATAGATTTTTTTCCTTTTTAGTAGAACCAGCCAACAACAACAGTAGGGTGTTGATATTTAACTTAATTAAATAAAACGAATTAAAACCAAATTTAAAAAAATCAAAATTTAAACTGAAATCATGTCTTTTTACTCCAGTAAATATAATTTTTATTGAAAAATACACATTTAGAATCTCGAATCTCATAGAATCACAAAAGGAAAAATGTAAATTAATTATTAAATATATCAACACTTTCGGTTCATAAATAGGTTTGAAAACAAGCAGCATTGTCATAATTACAGCAGAAATACCAGATTAAATATCTTATATATGGGGCCAATATGGGGAGGAGGGCTTGTGTTACTCTCCCAAATAAAATCATGTCTGATTGCTTAGAAAGATATATATATATAAAAAAACTAACCCAAAGTATGATGACACATATCAAAACCAAAAAAAATTAAACACCCTATTCATAAGAACTTCTATTTAAATGCAGTTATATTTTTTAAAATCTCCGCCCAATATAACCTGAGCTGTAGAAGAGGTCTGGCCGTTCCAGGATGTCACCATTTTGGAGAAAAGGTTCTCCATCGTCTCCATACATGAAAGGCTCTGCCTCATCCATCTGTCGGTTCTCCACCATCTCCAGCCACTGAGAGTTATGCCAGCGAAACTTCTCACTCTGGATCTTCTTACCCCATTCCACATCATATTCCTACAGACACAGACAGAGAGAACAGCCAGAGTATTAGCACAGGACACAGAAAGGCTCTGCCTGTATTGCCATACCGAAGATGTGGGATGAATCAGGTGTGCTGTGTCGCTTGGCAGACGGATAGCATGGCAGCTGTTTATTTTAACTCTACAGGGACTGAGCATAATAAAACCTCTTTGAGGTTGGTGGAAATAGCTAAGCAAATCGGCTCTCTGATTAATCATCCCCCACACAGGGTGGAAGGCCTGGGGCTCTGATGGCCACCTGAGGCCCAGGCCTCAAACAGGCCTCATTGTCACCGGTTTGGCCCCACCGGCATGCACAGTGACACTTTCTGCCAGGGCACAAATTCATCATTGTAAAGCATTAAAGGCACCACATGCTGCACTCCCGTGGCCAATCACAGTGATGAATGTGGTCTGATACCCCGGCTAATCAATCTTCAAGTAGCTGAGCTCATGGCGTTTCTGAACATTTAGATCCGGAGCAGGTTTGGGTGTTTTATAAATAAATCTGGGGGAAAAATCTTCAAGCGTATCCAGAAATAGCATGCAAAAATGAATTATGAATGACTTCTCCTGTCTGGGTTAAAAACCACTGCCACAAAGGCAAAAGGCTTGGGTATGACAAGATAAAAGTAGAAAAAAAGGTTAAAAAAAAAGATCAACAATAGTCCTCAGATTTCACATTTTCCTATTTGTATAACAGAAGAAGAAAAAGGGGAAGATGACCAACAACGTGTATGTGAATGTGTGGTATTCAGCGGATCTGCGCTCTGTCCACCATCCCCACGTGACACTAAGCAGGCGTCTCCTCCTCTCTCTTTGATGTGGCTCCATGCTTTAATGGCCCTTTCCGATCAGATGTATGGAACACTTCCCTTGGCCTCAAGACCAGCCCTAATTACATTAATCTGAGGCCTGGGACAGATCACATGTGACAGAGCTGCTTCAGAACAGCTTATACATTTAACCCGCTAGCAACGGTGTTCATCCAACAGTCTTTTATGTCAAATGACTCTGACTATATAGATACGCAATAAGTATTCATATTCTTAAACAGTCTAGTGGCAGAATTTTTGTGTTGGAGATTTTGGGTTCTAATCCGCCCTTGCATAATTGTTTTCCCCTTATTAAAATCAAAGATGTTCATCAGTGATCGTATATCAAGAGCAGGGACACATTTGTGTGTATTTTATTTTGTGATTTAACTGGAATGAATACATAGTTTCCGCAATGTCATTAAGCGATAGATTGAAGCCCTCGTGTGTGAAGACGATTTTGCACGAGCCAAAATAGAATGTTCCGTCACTAATAACATCACAACGAACAGTCAGCATGATTTAAAAAAACAACAGATTCCAGCGCCAGATCGCATCTTATTTAACAGAAATGAATGGCAGCTGGATAGGTTTCATCTGCATTAGGTACGTCGAGGTGTTTCAAAAAAGTGATGGGGACAATATCAACCCTGGTGGAGGACATGTCCCACCCATCCCACCCGTAAATTACGCCTATGCTAAGAACCATATGTGCCATATTTATAGTTAACAATGAAGTGCTGGTTAAGACAACTGGACGGTCTCCCGCTTGACTCAAAACAAAAAAAAAAGAGGAAGAAGAAGATGTGCCAAAAAAGTTTGGACCGGTTCTTCACAGTGTTATTGTTAACTAAGACTAAAACGATTAAAACAGATTTCCATTAATTGATATAAAGCTGAAATAAAATATAAATGTTAGATGAAAATCTTAAACGAAAATTATAATGTCGCCTTGGCAATTAACTGAAATAAAATGTTTTAGTTGAAGTTCTAAAATAATTAAAACTAAATAAATAGAAAAGCTAAATAGAAGTATAAAAAAATATAAAATGACAAAAGCACATGACAGAATTACTAAAACTTAAACTAAAATTAATTCTAAAAAATTTAAAAATAAAGCCTTGTTCAGAATATTAAGCAAAAACCCTGGTTCCTCAACATGAATTGAGTGTAAAAAGGGTCGCATGCACATAATGGCTATAATAATTTGTTTGATCATTACCAGGCCCCTTTACCCACTGAAACAACTTGAAATTGGTGAAAGACAGCACACTACTTGAGGTACAGCTGATTCATACTCACAGCAATGATGTCCAATGTATTGTCACACACTTTGCGTATTTCTGCATTTTTGTCGTGCATCAGGTCAATGAGATATGCTGGAGCCTCTGACAAGATAACAGTCAAGGACAAAAACTCTTAAGATAGAAACTGCTGTATGACCAAACAACAACATCATCATGCAACTGCAGGTTTTACAAGATGAAGGATACGCGTTTCTTTTATGATGACATCTCGGGTGGCCTGGTGAAACACCATTTGGTAAAAGACGTACACAATCTGACAGACAAACTCATCATCTTCTTGCTGGGCTGAGGATAGAAAGAAGAGAGAAATTATTATTTCTCTACTTCCAATAACATATGTCAACTTCAGAACATGAACTTTAAAAGCACTCTGAGCATCTGAATGTTTCCTACCGTTCAGCAGCTCTATTAGAGCAGGAATGATGCCCGATTTGGCCAACATTACGGCACAGGAATCATCCATGGAGACAGTGCCAATCATGATCACCACCTCCAGAATGAGGTCATCCTCTGCAGAGCCTACATAAGAAAAATAAGTGGAAGTCACATATCACAAGACCTTGCAACTAATATTCTCATGTATTTTCCATTGTGATGTAAAATAGTAAAGTGGATTAAGACAGACCTGGTTTGAGGTGGTCTTTGAGATAAGGCACCAGGTTGTACTCCTTCAGCACAAGTTCCCAGTCAAGATCAGGAATGGTAAGATTGGAAAGAGTTCCCAAGCACTCAATGACAAACTCTTCCTCTTCCTTTAGTCCGATCTGAGCCGCTAGGTCTCCAACATAGTCCTCAAACACATCACATGCTTATTAGTTTTCAATGGAGTAAACATCAATGAACATCTCTACAATACACTTCATTTGTATGGGTGAGTGTATTCTCGTTTTTGACTCTCACAATGAAAAGATTTTTAGAAGGTCCATCATGCTGAGATATATTTCGGATCATCTTCATCATCAGAGGATCTTTTAGCTTCAGTGCTCTCTTCATTAGCATCTTCAGGCCATTGCCTTGAAAAAAAACCCATTAAATTAAGCACGGAGTCTGCACTTCACTGTTTTTTGGTTGCACATTTGTATCTATTCTCACCTTCACACATGATCTGGGCATTCCTCTTGTTGGCAGCCAGGTTGATGCAGAAGGAAATGAGCTCAGCGTCAATCCTCTCCTCACCACAATCAAACAACATCTTCATTACCTGACAAACAAAACACCATGAATTAACAGAAACAATCAAAGCACTTGCCATAGAGTGTAGCTGTCAGCAGCCATTACTCCAGTTTTCAGTGTCACATGATCGATGATCCTTCAGAAATCATTCTAATATGCTGATTCTGTGCTAAAGAAACATTACTTATTATGATCAATGTTGAAAACAGCTGTGCCGCTTAAAAGTTTTGTGGAAGTTGCGATACATTTAGAGGATTCTTTGATGAAGTAGAAAAGAACAGCATTTATTTGAAATAGAAATATTTTGTAACATTATAAATGTATTTACTGTCACTTTACTGATCAATTTAATGCATCCTTTCTGAATAAAAGTATTAATTTCTTTAAAAAATTACTTACTGACCTCAAAGTTAGCTAGTGTGTATATATGTTCAGTTTCAGTCCAGTTACCTCATACCCAAAAGCTTCAAGCTCAAGTGTGCCCTTCTTTCCTGAAAGATCCAACTCAAGAAAGTCAGCAAGCGACTTGAAGTCCTGACCCACCTAGAACTTTAATCAAACCCGCCTTTGTCCTACAAAAAAGCTGACAGACCTGAAACATTTTTTCCAAACTCCCGTACCAAATTTGTAAGTTTCCCAGACGTCCAGGGGTTCCTGATTTTCTCAAGCGAATCCGAACTTTAGACACAAACCTTACATGTCACTCTCCATTAGCTTGGCTAACGTCACTACACCCTGAGCGGAACAGAGGACCGGACTCTGCTACCTGAGGGGATGTTAGGGCTTCAGGAAGGGAGCGTGGGGGACAAGGGGACTGTGCAGAGGTCCAGGCCTGGGCTGAAGTGGTCAAGGGTTGTCAACATCGCCCCCTGACGTTAACGATAAGCAGGAGGCCCGGAGAGAGAGTGAGGAGGCAGCGGTGAGTATGCAAAGCATACAGTCCCATTCTGAGTATCACATAGCAGCCACCCTGCAGCCTAAAATCACTGTGGCTAGACTTACTGGCACCTGCCCTGCTTTCACATGCAATACCGAGTCGCCCCACCAAAACCTTGGTAACCCCCAGCCTGCAGTCCCAGTGACAACAAGACTGCACAGGGTTGTCACACCTTTCGACTGATGAATTATCATACCTTTTCCTGTTATTTGTAAACAACTGATAGAGATTTTAAAAATATAATCTAAAGATTGCACTAACAAAGAGCCAATTCTAGCATATTATAGAGCTGAAAATAAGCTGATAGACCTTAGTTTAATGAAGAAATTTCTATTACTTTCTCAGGTTTTTCATGACCATTTGAACCTGTACTGTATTTTTCAATCAATATTTTGGTTTTACTCATTTTTTTATGAAAATGTCCTTTAAATGTTTGCATTTTTTATCATGCCATATTAATTCATTTTAGCCCATTTTAAATTGTTAAAATAACATAGAATTATTAGTTTTGTAGTTTAATGTTAGATTTGACAAAAAAAAAACAACACAAAAACTGTAAAATTCTCATTAACAATCGTTTTAATGAAAATAATTTTTATTACTGTCATGATGCATGTTTTTGGTCTTATCGAAAAAACTGTCAAACAAACATTTCCTTCGATAATTAAGCTTTTCTAATGTGAATCTGAAAAATAAGACTAATTACCCCCTTGGCTAACTGCTTGTTGGTCAGACTAGTTCTTAAGACACAGTCTTAACACAGAGGCAAGATTTATGCAGCTGGCCTCAGGTGGTGAAATTCTATGGTGCAAATCTCACAATAGACACATGTACAGTATTAAAGAAATCTGGAGAGGGCCAGTGAGTGAGTTATCTGAGATACAGTGTCTACACCGGATATGAACAACGCTCATGACACAAGACACTGACTATAAACTGATGCCGTTCTAATTCTAACGTACTCCGCATGCTTGCGCTACTTCCGAAAACAATAGAAATGGACTTGGATTTCAATTTGATGTGTTAAACATAACCTCAAGCTGTTGCGGCATAGTGCAATGGGACAACGGTCGCACCCGGTTTAGACATGGTGTGAGAGAGGATATAGAGCTCTCCTGTCCCATGCTATAAGATCATGCTAATGCAGGCTGACCTCTCACCTGTGGAATGCAGTCCGTGTAGGCAAACATAGACTTGAAACGGTCGTCCATGCTGATGTGGTACAGAATGCACATGGCGATCTGTCTCTGTGCTTCGTCTCCTGAAACACAAACACACACAAGCCATGAATGGACAGACACACTCTCTGCATATTTAAGGTAGCCTGAACTACACCTTCTTCTTCAGTAGAAACACACGGCAGGATAAACAGGACAACACCAGATTTTAAGCATTCAATTCTGATTTGAGTCACGAGTGTCCCAATATTTAGTGGATCAAGGCCGTTTGCTTGTGCCAGAATTCGTGTTCAGGATTCACATCATAGGGAACTAGTGAGTGGAATGAGACACTTTTTTGGCCATTACTGTTGACCTATGCAACCATTCAAAAGTTTGGGGTCAGTAAGACTTTTTTGTTGGAAAGAAATCAATACTGTTGTTCAGAAAGGATTAATTAAATTGAACAAAAATTACATTAAATATTAAGCAGCACAATTGTTTTCAACAAAACAAGATAATAACAAAAATATTTCTTGAGCATTAAATCAGCATATTAGAATGATTTATGAATGTTTTTACTTTATTTTTAATCAAATAACAGCAATCTTGATGAGCATTAGAGACAATCTTTAAAAAAAACAATCTTATCAACCTCAAAATTTTTAACAGTAGTGTTAATATAGAGAAAACAAATCTGCAAGAATTATTTTGTTAATCTTTGTATTTTTTTTTTAATCTGGTATTTATTTCAGGCCTGAGTAATTCTGACCCTGAGAAAGCACAGTTACCCTTCACAAAGCAGACCGAAACCTGGACCTGGTAAGAACTTGAGCCCTGACTTAATCAGACAGACAGACCCAGACCCCGAGAGAGGGAAGAGGGGGCGGGGATAAGTCGGAGCCAGCCACGGACCCTTTAGGCAAGGTTATCTCTGCCTATTGGAGCCAGATGTGCTCCCAGAGACCCCTGAAAAGAGAAGGGCTTCTCCATTTAATTGAGGAAAAAAAGGAGGAAGCATAAATTTTACTGCCATTAATAACTTCAAGCCAAGCTGCTCTGCACCGCCTGCACCACGACTAGCCCACACATGTGCTTCTCATTAGTGAAAGACACACACAAGCATACAAACGAGCTCTAGCGCACACTCAGAGGTCAAGCGCAAACACACACACACACACACACTAAGTTAACGCCTCGGCCTGCGCGTCAGGAGAGGAAAACGGGGGATCCTTTATGAGGATGGAGGAGAAGAGCCTGTAAAAATGTTCAAAACAGCCCTGGAGCCTGGGAGAAAAAAAGCCCATTAAAAATTCATTATCCTGTTCAGGGTGCGTTTAGTGGGAGAGCAGGAGAGCTAAACTTCAATTACACCCCAGTAAGATTTAAACCACCCAACCACCATAAAAGCCACGGCAGCAAGGCCTTCAGGAGACCACTACAACCTTAAATGCCCATGTCCTTCAGAGTTGATTGAGACATTGAGTACACACTAATGGTAAACAGTAAGGGATGGGTCAAGATGGTCGACTAGCCATTAACCGATTACTCAATTAGTGATGTTGACTTGTTTATTTCTCTCTCTCTCTATATGTGTGTATATATCTGAGATATATATACAGTATATACAGTATATATATAGACACGTGCATGCCCGCTTATGCAGTCACGGATTTAAAAAAAAAATAAGCATGAAACCAAAATGTAAAAACCCAAGTAAATTATATTACACAAAATTTAAAAACAAAAGTAATTTTTTTCAAACAATGGTCACAGATTGAAAAATAATAAGCATAAATCAAAACTTTAATAAAGCATAAAATTACATTTAAAAAAGCATGAATCGAAACTTTAAAGGGGTCATATGATGCGATTAAAATTTTTCCTTTCTCTTTGGAGTGTTACAAGCTCTTGGTGCATAAAGAAGATCTGTAAAGTTGCAAAGACTAAAGTCTCAAATCCAAAGAGATATTCTTTATAAAAGTTAAGAGTCA